TATTATCATCTTTTTTTTCTTATTTCATATAACTATAGCTTATTTCTTGTGGCTTGGAAGTGTATTTTAATTGTAATGCACCTTAATATAAATATGGTACTTCAATCATTGTCACAAGTGCTTCTCATTTCTCATTGCTTGTTTGCAATATAAACCCCTAATATAAAGCCATAATCTAAGTAGTGATCAATTGGCATGGGGTGAATGCAATCAATTGGAGCACAAAGGGAATGGCAAAACATTTTTTTGAATTATCGAACACGATAGTTTTTATGCAAGTAAATGGATTTTGTTGTAGTTGTGGTAAAATATTAACTTCATTCATTTTCAAATTTATAATCATATGCATAAATGTTTGGCATTGTGGTGGTTTGATGTGCTGCCAATTAATAGCTTAAACTTTTCTTTCTTAGGTTTGGCTTTTTAGTTTCAACTACAGTGATTGTATTATGGTGAGTGAGAAGTATTGTAACATAACACTTGCACATAAGTAAATTTATGAACATTTGTCTCCAATACATACACTAATGTATCATTTTAAATTCTTTTTATGATTGAGAAGCCAGAAGTTTTGTATAAGTAATGAATGATGTGCACCTTTAGTGTAAGAATCTGCTAATTTAGCCTTTTGTCCCACCAAGGCTTACTCAAAGATTTTAGAGATGTTTATTTTTAGATATTGTTTATGGTGCAAAAATACTTTATCCATAAATCCAATCTTTAGATTCTTTAGTGATATAATTATGTAATTGCCCCATACATTATAGTAAAAGTATATGCCATCCATAGATTTTAGAACTAAAATTCATCCTCTAAATTTTGTAAGGAACCTTTTCTATTTATGGTTAATATATATATATATATCAATCTTGGCTTATGTAAAGTTAAAAGAGCTTGGTGTATTTGCCATAAATTGAGGAATTTACTAATTTATTTGTCAAAATTTATGTAGCACAAAAAATTGTATATGTGGTGCTGACATATGAATGCATGCCCATGTGTAAAAAAAAAAACATTGTGTTTAAAATATTATTTCATGAGTCACATAGATACGTTATAACAATTAAACACATACATATTTTCTTTATAATATATATATATATATATATATATATATATATATATATATATATATATATATATATATATATATATACATATATATATACATATATATATATATATACACATATATATATGCACACATATATATATATGCACACACACACACATATATATGTACACACATATATATACACATATATATATATATATACACACATATATATATATATATACACACATATATATATATATACACACATATATATATATATACACACATATATATATATATATATATATATATATATATATATATATATATATATATATATTGCAGGCTTCTAGGCCACCCACTAGTGTCAAAATAAGAGATCATCAAAACAACAAAACAAAATGAAACATTAACAATCAAGTAACCACACGCTCGACCTTTTACATTATCTTCACTGTATTGGTTGTAAATAGATAAATATACTTTTATGTTACTTCAGTTTTATCATTAGACTTTGTAAACAATATATAAATAATTGGAATGGCAACCAATTTGTGATTGTGGTTTTGGGAGGTGTATGTGGGAAGTGAGAACTTGGACAGGATGAAGATTTTCAGCCACAAAGCATCCTTCTAAGCTTGACACAAAAGAATGTTAAAACCTCATAGTAATCATATACTTCCACGGCTAGCAAATTATTCCCCCTCCAAAAAATTCACAGCTCCAAATGGAGCTCTCACTCCCTCTCTCTCTCTCTCTCTCTTCTAATCGTAGGCAGTCTCCCAATCATCCACCACGTTTTGATCATCCTCCGCAGCTTTTGCTGCTAGCGAGCGAGCTTCCACACTCCCGGACGCTGCGGAGCCACTGCTCGAGCTCCCCTTGTCTTGCTCCAAAGCCTTCCACGGGTTGCTCACAAGAGTCACCGGGTTCCTCTTGAGCCACACACCTCTTCCCGGCTCCTCGACTTTAGCCTCGTCGCCGCGGTGGCCGTGAGCCCGAGGTGGCGACGGAGCTCTCGCGCTGGAACTGGAAGGCGCCCCCCAGCCGAGCTGCTTATGCACAACCGCGCCACTCCCGAGCAGCGGGAGGACGAACGCACCGTGATACGGCGTCGCATGGTCGACCCGCTTCAGTGCCGTCGCAGCTCGAGAAGGATCCGTGAAGATGGTGATAGCGTTCCTGTCGTTGAGCCATATCAGCTCGCACTCCCCGGCAAACCTCAGGACCACGCGGCTGATGTCCCCCTCGCCGGGAAGATCCAGAAGAGCCACCACCAGCTTCGGGTCCACGTCCAGGCCGGGGTTGAACAACGGTGCCACGACGTTGAGCTTGATCAGGCGGCCCGGCATTTTCGACTTGGAGTTTACGTGCACCACCAGGTAGCGTCTCGCCTCCCAGCCGACGCTGCTCGAGGAGAGGTTCCACCTCTGCGCCAGCTGATAGATCACTTCCCGCTTGTCCTTCGGGAGAGGCGCGAAGACGTGGACGCGCAGCCCCGTCACGCAAGCCACCGACTTGGGGCCGAGCAGCAAATACTTGAACCTGTCCTCCACCGCCGTCACAAACTGCGAGTCCCTCTTCGCCATCTCTTGGACGCAGTCCGAGCTGCCATACGCTGTCAAGGGATCGCCGTTCGTCTCTATCCCCAAGGCATCGGCAAGTGACTTGAGCCTCTGCGTCTTCACGCAGTCGTCATCACAGCTGAGCTTTCTCTGAGAAGCCGGAGCTTTGTCTCTGGTAGCAGCGCCTCCCATCTCACACGGAACAGCAGCCGTGAGCCGCTCGCAACTACAGGTGATGGTCTCCATGAACTCGCATCGAACGTCCGGACAGGGTGACCCCGGGTGGCAAGCCGCGACGCAAGTATGGGAGCACTCCCTGCGAGAAGCCCCGCAGACTTGGCCGCATGACAGGCTGCTGCTGTCATCACTGTCGCATGGATCCGAGTGACAGGTCTTCCCGCACGGATGCACACCGCACTTGCGCAGCTTCCCGCACGGCCTGTTGCACTTGATCTCCCTGGAGCCGCACGGCACGTTCCGCATGGTGACGTGCTGTCCCACGCATTCCTTCGCGACCAGCACGGTACACGGCGGACACTCTCCAAAGTGGCAAGTGTGAGTAGCAGGGTGGCCGCACGGCTGAGGAACGAGGCACAAGAAGTCGCAACGCGGTCGAGGAGTGCCGCAAGGAACCGGTGGCGGAATAGATGACTTTCCACAGGCGCACGAGAGATCTGTGAAGCTGGACTGTAGGCACGGTCGGCAGTGCCCCGAATGGCACAGCTCCTGGCAGAAGTGTTCCCCGCACCGCAGCTTCTTTCCACACTCGAGCATGCAAAAATGGTTATCCCCTGAATCACTCGGACAGCATTTGACGTTGCACCTGTGCCTGCCGCAGTTTCGCTTCTTCTCGCACTTCTTGTCGCAGATGAAAGAATGCTCGTCGCTGGTTGAAGTAGCGACGTTGCAGGGAACAACGCGAGAGGAGGCACCACACCGGCACTTCTGCTCCACAAGCACCTCGCACGGCGGACAAGGCCCAAGGTGACACAAGTTGATACATTCGTGCCTTCCGCAGCTCACGTACTTCCCACACTCCTGACCGCATGTTGGAACCGGATCGAGGCAGCTCCTCCTAAGAGCTCGTAGAGTCGTCTTCTTGCATGGACATGTCGATACGCTCTCTGGAGAAAGCTCGCAGTCACCACAATCGCCGGGATGGCACTCCCTCGAGCATACGTGATTGCCGCAAGGCAGAAGCTTCCCGCAAATGGATCCACAGGAGAAAATGCCGTTGCCTGCGACGTCTCCTGGTACCGGGACTTGTCCGCAAACCACACGATCCAGTTTCCTTCGGCAAAAGCACGCCACTGCGACCACCACCTTACACCCTCCACACTCATCCTTGTGGCAAACCCGGGTACAGTAATGCCGACCGCACGAGAGCATCCCTCCACACTGATATCCACAGCTGACCACACCTTCGTCCCTCTCGATGCAGCGTCTCGTCACAACTTTCCTTCCACAGCCACAAGCTTCCGGGAGTGCAAACGCCGCACAGGGAGGACACGGACCGGGATGGCACTGGAGCGTGCAAATGTGCTGGCAAAGGCCCAGCTTGCTCTTGTCCAGAGGCTTCTTGCAAGTCCCACCGCAAGAGTGTGGAGTCAAGTAGAAATCCACCGGGGGTTCCAGCTGCTGCCCGCAAAAGCACCAGTACTGCAAGTCGTTCGCTGGAGAGAGCTGAATCGCCTGGCACCCGGGACACCTCCAGTTGCCACTCTGATCCACCGAGGTTGGAGCTCGAGCCCACTTCCTGATGCACGTAAGGTGGAAGATGGAGTAGCAGCCCGAGCAAGACCACACGCGGGCGTTTCGACCGATCATGTCGTAGCAGATCATGCATTCCATCTCCCCCTTTTGCAGTTTTTCCAGAAGTCCCTGAGCTAGCTGAGGAAGAGCGCCGGCGGGGATGACCGTCGTGGTCGACATGCTCAATCTTGCAAACTCGGAGCTCACGAACTGATGCGCTGGTAGTGATGGCGGCTGTTCTTGAGAGGTCGGCAGCTTTCTTTCTCTCCACGCTTGCCTCGATGTTCCATTGGTGCCGCCTCTTCGATTCGAAATGTGCTGCGGCATCGCCTCACCTGGCTTGGATTCCGTGTTCCTCAAGCCACCGCCATTGCCGCCTGTAGACCTAGTTCCTCCTCGCGCGTTGATCGCTTGCTGGCGATGGCTATCCTCCATTCGAGAACACTGTGCACCAAAATGTAAGGATCCCGATCGCAAAGACGCGCACGGCACTGACCTCTTCGTCGCGAGAACCCTAGCGCCCAGCGCCTAGAGGAAGCTGGTGCCGCGTTCGTGCAGCCAGGAAGAACCCTAGATATACTGGTCTGAAGCATTCGCTACACGTGGCAGCCTGCTAGGTGGCCACATTGTGATCGTTGATTCTTTGCCAGGGTTTTATCCTTCTCGCGAGCGATGGCGCTCTCCATGGCGGTGGCGCTGCCTTGCGCGAGCAGGCGCCAGAGAATCCCCGACGCTCCTTCGTGTTCTTCGCGTTCCAGGATTGTTGCGGTGGTCCAGGGCAGGAGTAGGATTGGCATTCCCTCGCAATGGACGCGATCCAGCAGCGGCGGCAGCAGCACTAGCTGCATTGGAGCAGCATTGACATCGTTTAGTGGAAGAACTTGCCTGGATTCCGGTGAGTGAGCCCCTCGATCTATCACCTCCTCACAATCTCTCGAAATATTTCGTAGGCATCTATGTCGATGCGTCGATCGGTTGCCGGAATTTCGGCATTGGCATTGGCAATGGCTCGCGATTCTTTGCCATGCGGCACGGCCGCAAGGTCCCCAAGCTCAACCGGCCCCCGGACCAGCGCCGCGCGCTTCTCCGCGGCCTCGCCACGCAGCTCCTCCGGCACGGCAGGATCAAGACGACGCGCGCCAGGGCCAAGGCGATGCGCCCCCACGTCGATCACATGATCACGCTGGCCAAGGGAGGATCGCTCCACCAGCGAAGACAAGCTCTGGGCTACATCTATGACAAGCAGCTGGTTCACGCCTTGTTTGCCGAGGTCCCGGAGCGCTACTCAGAGAGAAGTGGAGGATACACCAGGGTGATCAGGACAATGCCCCGGAGAGGCGACAATGCTCCCATGGCTTACATTGAGCTCGTGTAGGAGACGAATCTGGGAAGGAGGTCCCGGGTTCGATTCCTCCGGCTCACTCGTATCCACCACTCGTGTATTTCATTTTTTTTTCTTCTTGATGACTGGGAGTTTTCATTTCAGTGTTGGCTATGGCGTTCTTCCTCGTTCGTCCTCGTCCGTTTGTGGCGGAGCACAACTTTGTTTTTTTCGTGTTTCAGGAATTATAATGCCGCATTCACCTACTACGACGCAACCCACGTAGATCAGGTTCCAATCGAGATCTCTTCATCGCCCCCTCTAATCATTTCCTTGGTCCTCTCAGGTTCTTTCATGGATTCGCAAGCAAGCTCCAGCAGTCTCCTCGGAGATGACAATGAGGGAGCCACCGGAATTTACCACTCGCTCAATTGGTTGCTTGTTCGGCTGACGCTGGCTGCTGGTGTCGGGGGCCTCCTCTTCGGCTATGACACAGGTTGTCACACATTGTTTTTCATGTTTCTCACAATCGCCGGCTGCGCACCGTGCAGGAGTGATATCTGGAGCATTGCTCTACATTCGCGATGACTTTGAATCCGTGAATGAGAGCACTTTCTTGCAAGTAAGCTACCTCTGCTTGTTTGCGTGTGAAAGCATTGACAACCACTGTTATTGTTCTTGTAGGAGACAATAGTTAGCATGGCTATTGCTGGAGCAATTGTTGGAGCAGCCTTTGGAGGACACATGAATGATCGCTTTGGACGCAAGTTTGCAATGTTTTCTGCAGACGCTGTCTTCGCAACTGGAGCAGTCGTCATGGCAGCTGCGCCCAATCCATATATGCTGATTGCTGGCCGCTTTCTCGTAGGATTGGGAGTTGGCGTGGCCTCAATGACGGCTCCGCTCTACATTGCAGAGGCTTCCCCGAACAGAATTCGCGGGGCTTTAGTGAGTACCAACGTGCTCATGATAACAGGTGGTCAGTTCTTGTCCTATCTCATCAACTTGGCCTTCACCCAGGTAAAGCTTCTACCATAGTCGAGCTGACCTTTACGGCTGAATTTCTGTAGGTACCTGGCACTTGGCGGTGGATGCTAGGAGTTGCTGGAATACCTGCTATTGTACAAGCTATACTAATGTATTCTTTGCCTGAATCGCCTAGATGGTTGTTCCACCAGGTAAGAGATGTGTACTTGCCTTTCAGCGCTCTTACGTTCGAATGATCAGGGAAGATACGAAGAGGCAGTGTCAGTGTTGGAGAAGATATATCCGGCAGAGCAGGTGAAACATGAAATCAATGGTCTTCGAGCCTCTCTGGAAGAAGAGAAAGAGGCGCCACGAATGCTAACGATACGGGACATAGTGGGGTCGAAACAAATCAGGCTGGCCCTTCGAGCGGGCGTGGGACTGCAGGTATCTCGTTTCGTGTGTCTTCCTTGTTTAATCTAAAACTGTGAAGTGTTTCAGATATTCCAGCAACTGGTTGGCATCAACACCGTTATGTACTACAGTCCTTCTATCGTGGAACTCGCGGGCTTTGCCTCGCACTACACAGCGTTGCTGCTCTCCCTTGTAATCGCGGGAATGAACGCTCTTGGGACCGTCGTAGGTATTTTTGTCATTGACCACGCCGGCCGCAGGAAGCTGGGCATCTCTAGCCTGGTTGGCGTTGTCTTTTCGCTGGCAGTACTGTCTTCGGCATTCTACCTTACTGCCAGAGATGCTCCGTTAGTAAGCACGCATGCTTCTTTTGAAACTCCAGATCTAATGTGCCCGGCGCTATCACCTTCGAGACTAACTCCATGGACTTGCATGGACTGCTTGCAATCTACATGCGGCTTTTGTGCTGTCAAGAACAACCAGGTTGGCTCAAACTTTTCCTCTGTCTTGGTTTCCGGAAGTCTGATTCTTTGTCTTACAGATGCTCCCAGGCCGCTGCCTCGTCTCCACCGCTTCCAAGTTTTGCGGAGCCGATGGAGGTGGCTGGTTCTCGCAAGGCTGCCCGAGCCGATACGGTTGGTTGGCTCTAGTCGGCTTGGCCCTCTACATAAGCTGCTTCTCTCCGGGAATGGGCCCGGTGCCCTGGACGATCAACTCGGAGATCTATCCTCTCAAGTACCGAGGAGTTTGCGGAGGAATCGCTGCTACGGCCAACTGGATTTCCAACTTGATCGTGGCTCAGACGTTCCTGTCGCTGGTGAAAGCCGTGGGGACGTCGCTCACTTTCGCGCTCTTCGGCGTCATTGCTCTGATCGCCATCGTCTTCATTGCGTGCTTCGTCCCCGAGACGAAAGGACTGTCGTTCGAGGAAGTGGAAAACCTGTGGAAGCCTCAAGACCAAGACAGTGATCAGCAGCCCCTGGTGCGAGACTGAGGAAAGGAAGCAAAATTTTCCTGGATGGATTCCACCCAACGAAGGTCTCACGGAATGATCTGGAGGATCAAGATTTGCCCGAAAAAAAATTGAGACCGCTTTGCGATCCAAGGAAATCATGCCGCCTACGATCTACACGTAATCCTCGACAAGAATGATCGAGGTGTAAAAGAGGCCCAACAAAGCGTGCGTGAGAGCCGAGAGCTCCACTTGGCGGCGGGTTGGATTGGATCGCAGTTCCATCGCCTTTGCGCAAAGGAGAGCTCCATTTCCCTGTTCTAAGCTCTGGAGCTCGTCTTATTGGGAAAAAGATAGCCAGGCTCTGGAAATTTCTACTTGCGAGCCAATGCTGCGAGCGGCATGGAGAAATCCTTGTGGATTGCAGCTACTGGCGAGCTAGAAGAAGAACAAGAGCGACAAAAAATTGTTCAAGGCTCTGTTCGTCCAAAAAGGTATGAATGAGTTTCACCTTTTCCTATTTCACTATATAAATGGGCTCTGCGTATTAGGTTCTCTACTAAAGGTTTTGGCGAGATGAAGACGTGGTCGAAGATTTTAGTGTTTGTGTTTGCGATCTTGGCTCTCTGCGCGTGCGTGTATGGGAGGTCGGTTCCTCAGCTTCGGACTATCTACATGGGAGACTCAATCTTTGATGTTGGAACCAACAAGTACGTGAAAAGCTCTGTTTCGCGTTGTGATTTTGTGCCATATGGGAAGACAAGGTATAACAAGCCATCAGGAAGGTGTAGCGATGGGTTTCTAATTCCAGATCTGATAAACCAAGTGATCGGTTTGCCCTTTTCAAAACCATTCTTGGGCTTGAAAGCTGGGAGCCAACCCCCACTGAGCATCAACTTTGCGTCGGATGGTAGTGGATTACTTGATTCTACTCACTCGGACTGGGGTGTTGTGTCGTTTAACGAGCAGCTAAAACAACTCGGGCAGCTAGCCAACAAGATCTCCAAGAAGAATCTCAATGATTTTGTTGTTGTGATATCTTCGGGTGGTAACGACATTGCAGCAAATCTTCAAAACACTGCTGAGATAGACTTGGAAGCAATGCTAGTGTTATTGGAGAAAGGCTTGGAGCAGCTCTATAAATATGGATTCAGGAAGATTGTCTACTCGAGCGTTGGGCCTTTAGGGTGTGCGCCTGTTGTCACGTCGGGTGGAAATTGCGTGAGAGAAATTAACAATCTAGTAGAGCAATTCAATGGGCAAGCTCGGGAGATTGTTTTGGGGGTGGCAAGAAAATTCCCAGGGATGAGAGGCACATTTGTTGATGGCTATTCACTGATCAAATCCTTTGTGGAGAACCCAGTTAAGTTTGGATTCAAGAATGGAGGGGGTTGTTGCCCCAATTGCCTATCACACAAAAATACCTTGAGCGGGCTGTGCAAGAATCCAAGTGATTATGTTTTCTGGGATTTAATTCACCCAACGGAGCACACGTACACACTACTGATGAGAGAATTCATGGAACAAATCACAAAAATCCTGTAAATTCACAAAGTATGCTTACTGGTTTTTGGTTTTCTTAAGAAAATTTTTAGAGGGACTATCTAAAATATATTTGAATATTTTAAAATATTTTACCATCTAATGGTTGTTATTCATTTAGATTAATTTTACATTTATAATTTATAAGTTTTCCTAAACACTTTTTAGTATATTCTTATTTATTTTACCATCTAATGGTTAACGGTTGATATGAAATAATCTTTTGTTTATAAATGATAAACAAACTTCCATTTGATCAATTAAATTAATAAATAAGAATAACACTACTATTAAGTAAATCAATCATTAGTGCATGCAATGCACACCAAATTTTTTTTGACTTTGTAAAAGATATGAGAAAAAGAAATACAGAACCAATTCAAGCAATCTCTAAAATCACTTTCACGTCTCACAATGCGTTAAAGATCAACTGGAGCTCTTTTAAATGCAATAAAAGGCCAGGGACAAGGTAGTTGTAGATGACAGGATTAACATCGCTGCTGTCGGCAAGTCCTTCCCAATGGATAGAAGCCAAAGCTCAAGTTCCGGGACTGGGACGAGGACGAGCTCGGGGCGTACACTGGCGAGTCGGATTTGTATCAGCTGGGAGGAGAAGCTGATCGCGCCGGCAGCAAGCCATGGTGGTGGTGAACGAAAGAGGAAGATCGAAGATGGGCTCGCATTTATCAGCAAGCTCAGGATGATCGAAGACGAGCTCTCTAGGTAAATCGAAGCGAAAGTGTTGATCAAGCTAGATTATTCAAGCTAAAGTTTATCCACCAAAGATTCTAGTCCTTTAACAAACCCATGTAAAGAGAAATATTTTACCGGGAATATACTCCTTGTGATGGGCTGGGCTAGGGTTTTTTAGCTATGGCGCTCGGGCAGGAGACCGTGCCCTTGTCGCTGCTCGTCAAGCGCGCGGCCGAGGCCGCCTACACCGGGCTCAAGGAGGTCTGCGAGGCGGCGCCCGAGCAATCCGACGCCGAGAGGAAGATCAGCCTTCTCAAATTCATCCTCAAGACGCGCCAGCGCCTCCTCCGCCTTCTCGTCATCTGCAAATGGTGTCGCCAGGTACAAATATCTCTCGATTGCCGTGAGCTTCCTTGTCTCGATCGATCGATCGATCGGGCGATCGGAATGTAGAAATGTCGATTTATTTTCGAGAATGTGTGTGATTTTTTATTCGTTTGCTTTCTTAGATTCCTCTCGTGGAGCGATGCCAGCAGCTCATGGGGACGCTCTCCAATCACGACATGAGCTTCACCCAAGCGGCCGATTCCATGTTCTACCTCCACGAGAGCTTGCAGCAGTCGCGAGCGCCCATGTACGATGTCGCCTCCGCCATGGACGTGCTCTTCACCGGCGGCTTCCCACGAATGCCCAAGTGCATCGAGGATCTCAACGTCCAGCCGGTTCTCGAGGGGTGGAAAAAGGACAACGTTCTTCAAAAGCTCGACACCCTTTTGCGATCCAAGCTCCTGGACATCGCCGTTCCAAAGGAGTTCACGTCGGTCTCGGTGCGCGATGGCCGGCTCACGCTGCGCGTGGATGGAGAGTTTGAGGTGGAGCTCACTCTCGGCTACCGGGGGAATGCGTCGCTGTGGAGGGTGCTCCATTTGAAGCTGCTAGTCGGGGAGAGCTCCAGGCCGGCAAAGTTCTCGGACATGCAACGTTTCGCGCTCTCCGACGATCTGGAGCGGAGGATGTCGGCTCTGGAAAACCCGTTTGGGATCATCTACACGGTTCTTCACGAGTTTTGCGCCGCGCTGGTGATGGACACGCTTTGGCGCCAAGTTCGTGCGCTGAGGCACGGAAGGTGGAAGGACGCTATACGGCTGGATCTCTCGTTTGAGACGGCCGCGTCTGGGAATCCGGCGACTCAAGCTCCCGCTGACGCAGAGGCGGATCCGTCCAAGTCGCGTGTTCATGGCGTGAAGATAACTTACTGGCTCGACATGGCCAAGGGTGGTGAGAGCTTGCTACCGAGCTTGAGGATCGAGCCGGGTAGTGACCAGAGAATCTCCTGCCAGCACCAGCCGCCACTCACGGATCCTGGGACTGGCAACGACGCTGAGTTTGCACTAGATCAGAGCCGCCTGGACGTCGAGAAGTTGATACTCCGAGTCATTAACTGCAACATTCACTCCCGGCTCGTCGAGGTCCAGAAGAGTCTAAAAGCCAACACTTATATTCACAGGGTGGAAGACGATGTGTTCTTGAAATCTTCTGCGCAGGTCAGTGAGAGATAAAGCTTACATTCTTGGCGTTCCTAATGGTTTTTGTTTTTGTTTTCCTGTGCAGGATACCTCGGACATCGGTGAAGATAGCCTTCATGTGCGCGCTTATGGGGATCTATATATCTGTCTTAGTATCAGTATCAGGTGCGTTGCTCTTTGCCTTGTTGAGAACTAAATTCACTGGATCTTAATAGGAATGGACGTTTTGTACTTCGAGCTCCCTCAACATTACTCTCATTGTCTTTAGTTCAAGAGATGGAGGAGGCGATAAATCAGGGGACCTCGGTCGTTGATGTCTTTATCAATCTGCGGAATCAAAGTATTATCCACCACTATACATCCTTGGGCGGATCAATGAATCTGAAGGTTGGTAGTACTTGTCTTAAATTTTTTTTTTCTCAGAGAAGCTTTGTGCAGGTCTTTGAAAAAGGTGCCATAACGCTGAAATTTCCGGAGGATGGACCTAAGCTTGGCTCAGACGTACTTGTTCTGGGATTTCCCAACACCGGCGATTTGTACTTCCTAGCAGTGCATCTCGATCCAGCATTTATGCCACTCTTTGTTCTATTGGAAGCTCAAAAGTTGGCGCCGCTACCAAATCGGACAACTGTTGCAGCAAAGCATCTGGTCATACGAAGGTACATGAACATCGACATCAGCAAATTTTCTTTGGCTGGCAACGATGAAAACTTGAGCTTATTAAGTGACAACGTAAAAAGTGGAGGCAGGAGCTTAGTTCCCAAGACAGCTGAAGTGAGGAATGGGTTTGACAGGATCGACAACCAAGTAGGAAAACTGGAAAAGGCGGAGCAACAGCCGAACTTCGCAATGGGACAGCTGCAACGCTATCATGCGTCACCTTCAGTTTCATTGGGAAGTCCATCCAGCAGAGCCAGCTTTGGCAACCACAACAGAAAATCGTCATCAAGCAATAATCTGCTAGCGTTGGTGTCTCAAGCCATGGGAAGCCCAGCCAGAAACTCATTTAGCCGGATGTCTCCATCGACAAAGTTACCGGAGCTGGAGTATGGTCGCTTAAAGTCCCCTCTACTTCACGTGGATAATCCCGCCTCTCCGGACCTTGACGACGATCATCTTTCGAAGCTGATCGAGTCGATCTCAACGGGTGGACCAGCAACGGATAACATGGCCAGTACAGGTTTAAGGCAGGTTCATTCGTCACCGTCGTCGAGAACGGTGAAGTCGGCCTCTAAGAATTCGTTGAAGTCTCTACATCTTGTACCTCGCAAGGGCCTACCGGATGGGTTGGGATCACCTCTGGCGAAGGATATGGATCGGTCGCCTTATCTTCTTCCAGCCCCTTCACGTCAACTGAGTTCCTTGAAGCGCAAGCCAGAGTCGGACATTTTCTCGTCTCTCCCGTCACTGCAGCGACTAAGCCTTGGAGCAAGGAAGAAACAGAAAGTCGAAGCGCCATCGAACGCCTTGGAAGTTTTCTCTGGACAGCCTTATGCTGCCGTTGTTGCCGCTGCAAATCAAGGGAAGGCTCCTCCGGTGACACATATGGCCGTACTTCTGCACGTCGTGAAGAGGTCCTGGCTGGTGATAAAGCACGCTCGTCTAACGAACCAGATGGATTCACTCGGCATATCGTACGTCGAAGAAGGCAGGCTTTCATCATCCGCGGGACTCATATTCCGTTTGGCAACTTCACGAATGAGAGGAGACATGGGAAAGTATTGCAATGCTTGGCAGCGGATATCTTTGAGCCTGGGACAGCACGGCAGCGATGGATGGGAAGTAAAAGTCCGTGATTCGCACTATAAAAGCCTGTGGAGCCTTCAGAAGCAAAAGGTGGCGGATTGGGGAGCTGGAGTTCAGCTCGCGGCTTTGTCGGAGGCTGATGCTCACATCAAATGTAGTCAAGAAGGCTTGATTCTTAGCTACAGCACGGTGGAAGACGACAGTATCAAGAAGCTTTTAGCAGATCTAGAGCGCTTAAGGAGTGCTAGAGCGTTTGCACACTGCATGAAGAAGCTTCTGGAGGACAGGATGGACGAGGGAGACCAAGGAGCTTCGCGGACAGATACGAAATGGGAAGCAATTACCAGGGCTTTCAAAGTCGAGGCTTTGGGCCTTACGAGCTTATGGTTCAGCTATACAGGAAGCATGCCAGGAATACTTGCACGATTTGTGGTAGAATGGGCATCCGACCAAGAGGGTTGCATAGTTCATGTCTCGCCGGAACAACTGTGGCCCCATACGAAGGTATGTTTTTCCGAGTTCCAGCTTCTCTGATCTTCTAACAGGTTTAAACTTTCCAGTATCTGGAGGACTTGATTAATGGAGGGGACGTGGAGCTTCTACTTGATGCCATCCGGATAACGGCTGGTCCTTTACATGCACTTGCCGGCGCAATCCGTCCAGCACGAATGACAGCACCTGTTTCGAGCATTGTCGCTTCTGCCATTTCTCCACCAGGTCAGGTTTCTCCTCCAAATAGTTCCGCCACGCCTCAGTCCAGAGCTACAGGACTCTCGATCCAGATTCCAACTATCACTTCCGGCCCCGGGAGAGGGCCTGGTCCAGGCATAGTTCCAAGCTCCCTGTTGCCAACGGACATTTCCGTTCTCATGCGCTCGCCATATTGGATCAGGATAGTCTACAGAAAGCAATTCTCGGTGGATATGAGGTGCTTTGAAGGTGACCAAGTGTGGCTGCAGCCAGCTCCTCCGCCTCAGGGTGCTGGTCCCGACGCAGGCGGTTCCTTACCTTGCCCGCAGTTTCGGCCGTTCGTCATGGAGAACGTTTTGAACAGTTCTGAGACTGTGGTCACCGGCGTACAGCAAAATGGTCCGGCATCTGCCAATCCTCGCTCGAATGCAAGTGCTACTCGGAATACTCCAAGCTCAGCGGCATCTGGTCGGAACCTCGTCATAGGGGGGCCCGGTTATCCAAGCTACAGGGGTGAGCTAAACTCTGCGTTTTGCGGCGTGAGTGACGATGGAGGTTACAGCGGTGCATGGGTGCCTCTTCCTGCTCTCAAAAAGGTCCTGCGCAGCACTCTTAAGTATCTCGGTGTCCTCTGGCTCTTTGCGCAGTTCCCCAATATTATTCGCGAGGTACTTGGCTCCGTTATGAATGGGAGAGATGGAACTCTTCTCCACTTGGATCCTGAGCAACCTGCTTTGCGATTCAATATCGGGTACGTCAACTTTTGGCTTATAACCTCTGTACTGACTTACTTGTCACGCTGTGCAGGAATTGCATGTTTGCTGTGAATATGCATCGCCACCAGCTGTATTTACAAGGTTTGAACGTGAAGAAGTTTCAGCAACCGCCTCCCGAGCTACAAACAGACCCCCCAGGAGCAGACGCGGACCTGACAAATGGTGAAATGCTGGAAATAACTGAGTTCTTCGCTCAACGAGTCGCATCTGAACCGTATGATGCCTCCCGCTTGGCCTCGTTCGTGACGATCCTGACGCTACCGATAGCTGTCCTTCGGGAGTTCCTTGGATTGATATCATGGATGAAAGAGGCCCAGAAGAACCAGGCCGTGGAGGCCACCCCTCGGCCGAGGATTGAGCTGTGCCTGGAGAATCGTTTGGTGATCAACACCACCATGAAAGAGGAAGCTGGCAGCAGCACGTCCGTGAAGAGCAGCATACTGCACGATCGAGAAAGAGAAATCGTGGAGTTCGCTCTGACTGTTTTCTTGGACCTGGGTCCTCACGTCAACGTGAACGTTGCTGGAGGTGCGGGGTGGCTGCCGCAGTGTGTATCGGTGCGGATGAGATACTACTACAACGAAGGTGGAAGGCGGGTGCTTCTGGTGGGCTTGGAAGGCAGTCATGGGGGCAGGGCTTGCTGGTCCAGGGGTGACGAGTGGGAGAGGCTGAAAGAGAGAACCAAAGTGCTGGAAGCTGCTGCCGCCGGTCAAGAGTCAAGTGGGAGATTGCGGGCAGTAGCGGAATCTGTGCAATTAACTTTGCAGTCTGCGCTCCAGCAGCTCCGTGCGGTGTGAATGAAATTCTGCGCTCTGCGGAGTAGCTCGGGAGTCGGGACGAGATCTTGCTGCGCAATTTTTGACTTGTTTAAAGGCTTCTGTAGGTACGCCTTTTCACTTTGGTACTTCGTTACTGTAACTGTTACGTGCTTGCAGGTGACGAGCTCCACAAAAGATCTGGGAGCAGATCTGCTCGGCACGAAGCTAACATATCGTGCAGTGACCAGATTTATGGGCAGAGATATTTATTTATTTTTTCTTCATGGTACATTCTATAGACGTTTTGTCTCCTCGATTCGCTAAGTTTTCTTCCCGTGTCACTTGCAGATGACGAACGACTTTGCACTGCCGAACGGAAGGCAGTGTTTCGCTATTCACGCCGTGCAATTTTCCAAGCCTTGCCTTCCAAGCAAGCATATGGAGACTATCAACCTTGATCATGATATTTCAGCAGCCTTTGACTGAAAGCGAGGCAGGAAGACACAAACTCATTAATTTGGGTGGGATACTGCCGGGATACGGCGGGATGGTTAGCTCCTTTCTTACGGAATTTTCTGTCGTCCTGTAAGCTGAAAGTCTTATTTCGATGCAGGTAAAAAAGAGCTATCGAGATGTGATGCTTGGAGAGCGAAAGTACCTCCGCTGATGAGGATCTTTGTGACCAATCCATTCAACATTACGTCACGCAAGTAATGAGGCTTATGCGGATCCGGGAAGGCGTGAGGCAAGCATGCCTGAGTCTCTTTGTTACTTATCTGTTTTTCTTCTTTTAACTCCAGTCAAACAAGACAGGCAGGCACAGGAAGGTGGTGAATTGCATTACCTCTGTGTAGGTAGATCTTTCCGCATCAGCATCAAACCGAAAGCAGCAGCAGCAGCCAGCGGCAGCATGCCAGAGCCAGAATAGCAACAGGGACAAGAACAGGATGCAAAGCGAAGGGAGCAAAAAAAAAAAAAGCCGAACCAAAAAACAAAAACGAGAAAAAGGAGCTGCAAAGCAAGTAATGGCACACGTGAGGTAGTAGTAGTCGTTGAGCTCTTTGGTTTTTTTTTTTTTTTTCTTCCTTTTCATCTTTTCATGCTCGTCTCTGTGTTGTTTGCAGGTCTGCGCCTGGTCCTCGTTCTCGGCTAAAGCTTTTTGCGCTGGTAAAATATAGCGAACTGTGGTCGTCTGCCGGGAAAAGAAACCTCTCCGGTTATAGTGCGTTGCTCGGGTCGGGGACTCCTTCCACGGTCTCTTGTCTCGGACCACCAACTCGGGCTGGCCTGGCGCTGTCCCTTTCTCCCGTGTGCTGCGACTCTGGCGCTGCTAAAAGCAACAAGTTACAGGTATGTGTGTGGATTTATTATGCCAAAAACCTGAGCGCAGTGCGGGGCACTTACTTTGATTGCCTGGCTTTGTGTTTTTGCTTGCAGGCACATTGATAACTCTTGCAACTTCTAGCTAAACTGGATGAACCAGCTTGTATATATGTGTATATATATTCCAGGGCCAGCTAGCGCATATGTTATGTTCATCGTACAAAGGTCCGATTGAATCAAAATTGTATTTTTAAACTCTCGCTCGTTTTTTTTTTTTTTTTTTTCTAGAAGACGATATCTTTGTTTTGAGTTTTATAGCGAGTAACAATCATAGTGGGTGTTTTTGTCAAGGGAGACAAGCTAGCAGGGGATTAAAATTGACGCTACCACAATAACGAACCCACATGGTTTGGCATTGATCTGGGAACGCATTGAAAATCCTGGAGAGGGGAAGATTCGAGATGCCGCGAGCGGATTCCCTGGTTCAGGTGAAAGACAGAAAGAAAGGTGACCTTTGTTCTTCTCACCCTCGTCGGTCAGAGAGGTTATCTTTTTTTTTCTCTCTTTGGCGAAAGTTCTTCGAGGAATTGGCTGTAAACAACACATTACAAGGAGAAAAGAATGGTTTTCTAGTCGCCAACTTTTGTGCAAGGATTGATTGCGGGGGCATTTGTTTAATCGGCATTTGTTTAGCTCGTGCTTGTAACGTTTTCCTTGGATTGCTAGATTGTGTCGATGATGGGCGATTGAATCGGGGGCAAAAACGTTACAAACTCTTTCACTCTCTCTTTCTCGTCGCTATAGAGCCTGTAATGTAATGTAGCAATGGGGACAGCACGCAAAAGAGCGAACACGCATTATCCTTGACAAAATAAGCTTTGACCGTGGCTCATGACGAGATTTGGCCACCATGAATGGATGAAATTGGGCCCCAAGAATTGTACGTTGGTGTTTAATTTTGATCTTTTTTTCCCCGTGGTCGTTGCCGTGGAAGACCGAAATGTATCAAAAATTTCTTCTCCCCCCAAGGAGGGGACGATCGATTGTGATGAAAAGATTTGATAGGGGCATCTGGTCTTTTGACTTCGAAACACTGCACAAAAGAGGGGGAAAAAAGAATATGAGAGCACTTCTCGCAAGATCAAAGGTTTGGGATTGGTTGGCTGTGCGAGAAAACTTCGGGCCTCTTCGAGAAAGAGAGGAGAGATCTCATCAAGACTTAGACTTGTGTCCTGTCCTCGCCTTTTTTTTTTTCCTGCGTTTTTTCATTTTTCTTTTGCGCCTTTAGCCACCAAACTCAATCCATTTCTACGTAACATCCGACATGCACGCATTGGACAGCGACCACCGCCACGAACTCTCGTCTGGAAGAAAAAAGAAAAACAAAAATCTCCCTGCACAAACAAAACAAGCGCTTGATTCCAGAAGACCAAAGCTTTGGACGCACACCACACCATCTCTGGCTGGTTGTTTGGTGTTTGGTCACCTTACCACCACCCGTAAAATTCGACAAGCAAAGTAAAAATAAAAAATCGCAAATCTCTTACCACCCGCATGCCCTCCACATTAATTGGAGAGATTACAACACACTAATTGTAAGGACAGCCGCTCAGTTACATTGAGTGCGCAAAACCAATCAAAAGAAAGCGATTAGATTAAATAAAGGCCAACGGGACGGCGGCCCTCTTGACTGACGGTGACGGAGCCGTCAGTCAAGGTCAAACCAACACGTCTAGGGCAAAGGTAAAAAAGGTGGTACACCCGTGTTAAAAAAGTAGTGTAAGTTTCCCGTCAAAGTGAGGAAAACATCACGGTCGGTCGGTGGCAGCGGCGAGACCAATGGGGACCCGCGCGGGCAGGCCGGGCAGCGCTCCCGGGCAGCTAGGGCTACTTATAACAAACAGGGCCATGTGTGTATCGAGAAGGAGAAGAAAAACGAGAAAAGAAATTAGCAAGGGTTTAAAGCAGAGAAGGAAGGAGGAAGGAGAAGAATGCCGGCCGCGATGAAGCTCTGGAGATGGCGATTTTAGGGTTCTTGGCGGGGTTGGGCGGGGAAGGCAAGAGATCTTGGCTTTTGGGTCTGATTGATCGATCGAGATCGGGGATCGATCGATTGTCGCGAGCAAGATGGGCTCTTCTTGGGCGTGATTGATCAGCCAGGAGAAATACGAGCCCCTTGTGATTGATCGCATCGAATTGAGAGGGAGAGGGGAGGGAATCGAGCGAGAGAGATTGAGAGAGAGAGATAGATCGATCCGGCGAGCGATCAAGCTGGCGAGCAAGATGCCGGGGCTCAAGAAGATGCAGGTCCAAAATCTGCAAGTGCCCCACTACTTCCGGTGCCCGATATCGCTGGAGCTGATGCGCGACCCGGTGACGGTGGCCACGGGCCAGACGTATGACCGCTCCAGCATCGAGAAATGGGTGAGCGACGGCAACGCGACGTGCCCGGCCACGATGCAGCGCCTCACCGATCTCACGCTCATCCCAAACCACACGCTGCGCCGCCTCATCCAGGAGTGGTGCGTCGCCAATCGCTCGCGTGGCATCGAGCGCATCCCCACGCCCAAGCAGCCCGCGGACCCGCAGCGCGTCGCGGCGCTCGTCCGGGACGTGACGCGCGGTACCGCCGGCGGTACCGCGTTGCAGCTCTTACTGCCGGCACTGCGCAGCCTCCGCGCGCTGGCCAAGGAGAACGATAAGAACCGAGGTCTGATGGTGGAGGCCAATGCGGTTTCGGCTCTTATCCGTGCCATGTTTAGGATCCCTTCCTCCTCCAGCGACGACGACGACGATGACAATCTCTCCTCGTCGTGCTCTTGCTCCTTCGATCCCGATTCCTTGTCGTGCTGCGCGCCGCTAGATCACGACCAACATCTTGGCGATTCCCTGGACGTGGAGGAGTCGTCGCTGGCGGTGCTGGTGCTCCTCCCGCTCAAGGACAGCGAGCGGCGATCCATCGCGCAGTGCCGGCGGCGGCTGGGCGCCGTGTCGCGGATCGTGCGACGCGGGCGGAGCATGGACGCGCGCATCAACGCGGCGGTACTGGTGGAGAAGATCGCGTCGGACGCGCCCGAGGCGGCGAAGCTGGCCATGGGCCAGATCCCCGGCCTGCTCGAGGGCCTCGTGGATCTCCTCCGGGGCGACCACTCGGCTGTGTCGCCGCGCGCGCCCAAGTCGGGCGTCAAGGCGCTCTTCTCGCTGTGCCTGTGCAGCGCGGCATCCAACAGCGAGCGGGCGGTATCGGCCGGCGCCGCGGCGGCGCTGGTGGAGCACCTCCCGGCGGCACAGCACGGCGACGCGGACCGGACCTTGGGTGCGCTGGAGCTGCTGTGCCGGACGCGGGCGGGGCGGGAGGTGGTGGCGCAGCACGCGCTGGCGGTGCCGGCGCTGGTGGCGGCCATCCAGTGCCGGAGCTCGTTCCAGGCGGCCGAGTGCGCCGCCGGGACGCTACTGGCGGTATGCAGCGGGAGCGAGGAGGTACAGCTGGCGGCGGCCGAGGCCGGGGTGCTCACGCAGCTACTGCTGCTCATCCAGAGCGACTGCACGGATCGGGCAAAGAGGAAGGCCGTGGAGCTGCTCAAGCTGCTCCGGCGGTGGTGGGCGGAGGACCCGTGCCTGGCGGAGCTGGACAGGACGGACGTGGTGGCGTTCTAAGCGATGGCGGTACGGCGCCCAGCTCTAGCTAACGGCCAGCGGCACACCGCGCGGTATGCCGCCAGTGCTCAAGAGACCGACCGAGAACCGCAATGCAATGCCGGTACTTTTACTATCTACGTGCCCACACCGTACATTTTAAGCGATTATAGGGAGGGAGGAGGGTTGTTTTTTCCGTGCTGTTTTTGTGATTTGGGGGGTTTTACGCAAACTACACTACGTACTAGTTGGCCAGCTTTTAGTCTTGGGTGAGGTTCTTGAGATTTTCTTCTTTATCCATGTTCCAACACCATGGTGTATATATTGTGTCAATATATTTTTGACAGCAGAGAGAGCACACAGCACACAGCCCAGCAGCACCAGCGCAGCAGCTGCAGAAACAGTAGCAAGAGATCTTTTTGGAAGCTGCAAATACAGCATTGTCTTTGTCGCTTGTAATGCAATTAGCTGAAATCCAAGGACAAAACAAGCTTAGGCCTACCTGGTGATGGATGCATGGCTGAATAATAATCAGAGAGAGATTCTTCTTGGTGTGAGATTATTTGTGGGAAGGAAACAGAAAGTGTGTGTCATACCTAATTTTTTTGTCATGCCACCTGTAATGTTATTTTTTTCTTCTCTTCTTTCTGGGTGGGAGTAGTGGCATCAGCAAATTTGTGTGTTTGTGGGCTCAAGACTTGTGTGTGTGTGTGTGTGTGTGTGCTTCTCACTCTGGCAATGTATTTTTTTGTGGTGATTTTGCCAGAGGATGGTCTCAGTCCAAGCTCAGTGAAAGGTCAAAGCCCTCTGGAATGCTGCTGCTTGCTTCTTTCTTGCTTGGTAACAAGTGTGAAGGGGATGGCTGTCCAGCCAACAGGGAAAAAATTGATAGCTAGGCAAAGTTAGTAGATTTTTGAGGTTACACTCTGTAAAACAATTGTTTTGCTTTCCTCTCTTTTTTACTTCCTTGCTTCTTGAGCTGTGTGGCCACTACAAATGCCAACAAGGGGACCCTCCCTCTCCTTGTTGTTGGGGTCACAAGTCACAAAAAAAGGAGGGAGAGGGGTTTGGCTCAAAAACAAAGCCAAAAAATGGGGGACATGTTGTTGTGACTGTCATTTTGGTCCCTGGAAATGATGGTGGTGGTGGACCAGAACCAGAAGAACAAAGGCAAGCAACCAAGAAAAAAAACAATACTCCTATAAAAACAAAAAGAAATGGAAAAAAAAAACCAACCAATGGAAGAGAAGTTTGACCGTTGCCGTGTTCTGTGCGTGGGATGGAGATTTTGTTCCGCGTTTGACCGTTGAATATTCGGATCGCTTGCACGTGTAGCTGGCCTATGTAAAGGAAAAGATCTGGCAAGCCTGAATATGCGAGGGAATCAATCCAGGACGAAAGAAATTATTATAACGGCGAAAGTGCGCATATTACCTGTGGCGTTTTAAGTCTGCCATGGATGGATGATGGATGGATCTCTCTCCTCTCTTTTTTTTTCTTTTTCTCCCGGCGAGAGTGGAGTGGAATCACTCAGGTGTTTGATGATTGGTGTCACGGTGCGAAGAAAATTCTGGACTGGTTGATGCTTTGTTCGTGTGCTTATTGCAGGAGAGTACTGCGATGGAAGAACTGCAAAACTGAAGTGGAGGAAGTGATTGACTAGAACAAGAGAGAAGGAAGTCCTGCGCTGTTTTCATACTTGCAACGTGTCCAGAATCTCGTCTGTGGTCAATCGATCCAGTTATCAAATCCGGAAGGACACGGAACAAAGACGCCAAGGTTAGTGGATTGGCCTTTTGCTTCTTTCTCCATAGAAAAATAGAAGCTAGCACACTTACGCAGGCTAATGTAGAGGCGCTCGTTTGAAGGGAATCACGGAGCTCCTGCAGTGAAAACAAGCTGAGCAGTGGCCTAGAAAAAAGACACAAGAAAAAAACTATGCCTTGCCTGGAAGACGAGCTTTTCTCTCGTTGGAGGAACGAAACACCAGAGACTTTCGATCGAGCGTCCTGTGTAGAGCATGCACTGTTCGAGAAAAAAGAGAGAAAGAAAGAAAGAAAGATAAAAACTGTGACTTGCCTGGAAGGCGAGCTTTTCTCTCATTGTAGAAACGAAAATCCAGAGACTTTCGATCGAACATCCTGTAAAGCATGCAAGCGCCAAGGAAACAAAAGATCAAGCGAAAGAAGCGACTGCATTGATCACAGGCAAGGAAAGAACACACTGAAGATCAAAACCAGACTTTTCCACTCGTTTCAAGCTTTCCTGGCTTTGCCTATCTCCATCACGTTCTTGAGGCGAGGAGCATAGAGCGAGTACACCACCGTCTGGCGCTTCACTACCTCGAGCTGCTCCTTACCGCTCGCAAATGCCTCTGCCGCATTGCCGGATTGGCGAAATCCTTGCCTGGATCGGCGCTTGATGTACTCACGCACATTGTAGTCGGTGAACTTGCGCGCCTCGCGCAGGAAACCCCGGTAGAGCGCGCGCACCTGCGCGGGATCCATCGCCTCGCGTCCTGTAGCATAAACCCTAGAATTTAGGGTTCTTGGGTTTTACTTGTTTTAACTGGCTGGGAGGGAATGCTGTGGATTCGTCGCTCCTCCCGGCGGATCTGTGCGCAGCTGCTGCCATTCCCTTTGGCGCCACCCGCCGCAAGCACCACATTCAATAGCATCGCGAAACGATGTCGATTTGAGGTAAGGTGATCGCTTTTGGTTGCTTGAGTTCTGGATAATTTTTTTTATCTTAGATGATCCATAGTACGAGCAGGGATGATCTGTGAGTAACGCAATCCCATGAGCCACTGATTTGAGTCGCTTTCAGGCAAAATTCTGGGATTTCTAGCTCTGAGCCTTCTCTGCTACCATCACCAGGAAGCTCCAGGGTCCATCCGACAGCCATTGTTCACTCTCAAGCTACCATCGGTGAGGTAAGTTCCATCTTTTTGTCTGTCTTTCTCGTGGTTTCTAAGTTCCAAGTGGTTTGTGGTGTTCTTCGTGAGTTTCCTTCGTGGTTTTTCCAGCTTCTCGTGCAATTCTTTCTTGGTGATGTGAATTTGTGGTTCTACGTATCTTAAGTTTCTGGCCGTGTGCAGCGCGTGAGTATTGGTCCATTTTGCAGCGTTGGTCCCGGTGCAAAGCTTGGCAGTGGCTGCACACTCCACCCAAACAGCCACATCTTTGGAAACACCCACATTGGCGACAACTCCACGCTCTTCCCGTGAGTTGCAACGAAACGCTCTTTTCATGAACGTCATTTCTCTTTTTCTCTGTCTTCCATTGATCACAGGGGAGCAATAGTTGGAGCTGACATTCCTGGTGAGACGGTCATCGGCAAGAATAACAGCATCGGCTGTTATGCGGTAGTCGGAGTGAAGTGCCAAGATCTCAAGTACAAAGTAAACATCCAAGTTCTTGTTCTTCTCCATTAAGACTTTTATTCCAGGATGGAGACGAATGCTTTCTTCGAATAGGTGATAATAACGATATAAGGGAGCACGCCAGCGTTCACAGATCGTCCAAAAGCACCGATAGCACGGTACGTTGTATCCTCAAACTTCAAGTTTGATTCGAAAAAGTTATTTTCTCTTGTCCCAAGAACTCAAGTTTGATTCGAAGTTCTTTTATCTTTCAGATAATTGGCGACAGCAATCTTATAATGGGAGCCTGTCACATTGCACACGACGTCAAGCTCGGTAACAGCAACATTCTGGCAAATGGTACTCTTCTAGGCGGTCACGTCGTGGTGGAGGTAGCGATCTAGTTTTTCGCGACACTTAAAAAAGTTTTGGTTTAGAATTGTATCCACACAGGAGGAGGAGCGGCAGTGCATCAGTTTTGTCACATCGGCTCTTACTCCTTCTTGGCAGGCGGTTCCATGGTAAATGATCCGCATTGTTTTTTTAATCACCTATCAAGATCTTCACCAAAACTGTATGTTTTTGCTGCATCAGGTGGACAGAGATGTTCCAACGTATATGATGGTTGCTGGGAATCGTGCAGAGCTTCGGGGACTTAATCTGGAAGGACTGAGACGGCGTGGATTCTCCGAGATCGAGGTACTCTCTTAAAAACTTCTTTTCTGCATTGGTTTTGTAATTCCTTTCTTTTGTTCTCAGGTGAACAGCCTGAGGCGAGCTTATCAAAGGCTTTTCGTGAACAGTGATGAAAATGCTGGAGGGATCGACGACCGACTTGCCATTCTCGTGAGCCGTTTATTTTTCTCAGTTGGAATAGTGGTTTGTTGTTGATTTCATGAACTTTGGCTTTGGCAGGACTTGGATGCAAAGCTTTCCAAGGTTGAGGTAGTTCTTCAGATGATCCAGTCTGTCCGGGATTGTTTCGGAGAGAATCGAAGAGGCCTGTGTAAGTTTCGGCAAGTAACTGGAATCATAGACAATGCGATTGATATTCCTTGATCAAGCTCTACACATACAGTGGCTTAGCGGGTTCTCGTAGATATCAAATCCTGGAAACGTCGGCTCGGGTAAACCCGTCCGGAACTCGTGAGTGGAGGCAACCTGGTCCACGAAGGCCGGCCATCCCAGCGTGGGATCGCCCAGCGCCTTGGCCATGAGGCTCTTGTCCGGTTTGATGGACTTGAGCTCGTGTCCCATGTATCTCCTGGTACCAATGACGAGCTTGGCAAAGTTTCCACCGTGCGTCATCACGAAGACATCGGACTTGACGCACACCAGGAAGTCGAGAGCAGCGAGGCTGGTGACGTGCTGTCTGAATGGCTTGAGTTCCTCTTTCGTTGCTAGATCGTCTTTTCTCACCTGTGAAAAGGAAAACCATTTTAAATTTACAAACTCTGGAAAAACTTACCAAGTTTGGGAACATGTTTCGTAGCGGGGACATGCGATTCTCACCGCCATAAACTTGGCCCGACGCGACGTAAATCTGCGTCTCCTTTGGATACCCCTTGGCCATGAGAACCACGCCAACTTCTGCCGGCTCGAGTGGACACCTTCCCTCTTTTCTTTTCAGTAGAGCTTGACGCCACAAATGTGACCCGTTCTGAAACGAGGAAGGATTGGATGAGCTAAACACAAAAGCAAAGACGGCTTACCTTGAACCTGCGAGGCCATTCTTTCTTCCTGTAAGCAGCCATCATTGCTTTTTCTTCGCGGTTACCAACAAAATCACAAAATGAAAGTCCGACCATTCCCTTCTCGAATCGCAAGTGTAAGGCCCTGAAATGCTGCGTTACAGGAAGTCAAGTAGTGGGATGACGCGACTTACATATACGGCTTCAATAAGCCCGTTCTGTTTCTCATCCTGGAAACTAGGACATCCGCCATTTCTTCTATATGAGGCAAAAACTTCAAAGCGTGGTAGTTGACCCTGCATCTCAGCTTGTTAATTTCAGCTGGCACATTATCATACCTGATCAAAGACAGCATGAAACACAGATGGTAGAAACATACACAACATAGTACAAAAGACGCTTACCCAAGCCTGTCGACAAAAGGCTTTAGAGCCATCACTCTTTTCTCTTTGATACGAGGCAAAACGTTGTCCAAATACCACTGTGCCGATGCATATTTGGGGATGTTCTTAACAGTCCTCCTGAAAGTCAAATTCGCAAATTCGCTATAAAAACAAGAAAGGTGAAACCGGGCTTACTTGAGACTAGTATACAAATCGCCTTTATCCGGCAACCACGACGGTATGTCTTTCACAATCCGCACGTCATCTTTGAGGGACTCTATAAAATGATCCACGTCAAAGACGTCCTCAAACCGCCTGCATGCAGAAGCTTTAACTTAGGAGTTCCTGGAATTCGTGTGCAATCAGACGGACTTTGATAATAGTAGGAGCGCACAACTTACGTTTTGTCTTTCCATATCTGGTCCTGCTTCATCAACGGGATGATGAGCGTCACGTTCATGATCCTTGCAACAGCAACAGCATTGCAAATCTGCAAATTTTATGGAGCTCTTGAAACACATACTATAACTGCTGTTAAACAACTAACCGCAATGCGCTGTTGATTTAGTCCTCCTTCAGCATGGATGCCGAGGTAACCATTTGTTTCATCCTCCGCTAGAGGCACTATACAAAAGAAAGAGCGCTTGAATCAGACACAGGGAAGCGAAAGAACTAACAAAGAAAAGAAGCGAACGAACCAATGTGTTTAGAAGCTCGCTCCTCGGCGCAAGGCCGCCACGACTTAGTTGCAGATTTTGGATTGTGCCACAAAGAAGGCGTGTCCGAAACCTTCACAAAAAATTCCAATTTTTTGGTTCTTAAGCTGGAAAGAAGGAGATCAAAGATGAAAGCTTACCGGTGGACAATGCAGCATCACACCATCCTTCCGACAGAGATATGGACGATTCTAAACCAAAGAAGAAGAGAAATAAACAATCTATAAGACTACGTAGCGAGCATGGATATTGTTTATCTTACCAAATGTCCCCACGCAAGAGGCAAGCAAAAGAACAAGAGCCCGAGAAGAGCCAAGGACACGGCCACGGCGATCCAGCCCCGCCGTGCCAAAACCCTGGCACCTAGCGATCCCTCCGACTCCGAGGAAGAGCTCTCGCCCTCCCTGGACACGATCCTCGACACAAACCCTGGCAGCGACTGGAACGCGTGAAGAACGCGAGCAATGTAGCCCTGGGGGTTGTGCTGCGGCGCCTGCTGCTTCTTCATCGACGGCGGATCGGCCGCCAGCAGCGACTGCCTCGCGGCGGCACCAGATCTCGCGATCGCCGCCGCCGCCACGGCGCTGCCTCCACTCCGCCACGCCTCCGCCATAGCTACATTCAAATGAAGCTTACTTGTTAGGGTTTATGCGATGAGCCGATGGAAGGGGAGAGGGGCGAAAGCGGTGGCCGAGGCGGCGCCGCTGTCTGGATTGTATGACGAGATCAGGCGATGGTCGGCGCGTCTAGAGTGCGCATTGAGCGCCTCCGGGGGGACGCTCGTGGCGAATCGTCAGCAAGCTCGCCTTCTCTGCGCTACAGGCTTTGGATCCGATGTGCTCTCGAGTGAGTGTGTGATTTCCAGAGATTTAGTGCCAGTGTTGTGATCGCCAGCTCCGGATCGTCGTGGAGATGGCGAGGATTTGGCGACTACACACGTCTTTCAGCTGATGCTTGAGGAAGTTTTCTACTTGAGCTACGAGCTAGATTGCCTTCGCGTCCATCGCCAAAGCTCACAGGTTTAGCTCTCTTTGCTTGCTCTCATCTCTTTGTTCCTTTGTGTGTGTCCTCTGCTTTGCAGGGCCGTGTGGATCTTACACTCGAGGAATTGTGGTGCTTGATGCAAGAATTCAACAGGGAGTTTGTGAAGATCTACAAGGCTTACTCTCACCTAAGGAACAAGCGATGGGTTGTTCGTCCTGGTCCACAGTATGGAGCCGATTTCATGGCATACAGGCACCACCCGACTTTGGTGCATTCAGAGTACGCAGTTATTGGAAGCTTTTGCTCTCTCGTTTGTGACAAAAGATGGTCTTGCAGCTATGCAGTTCTTGTTATCTCGGTAGATGATCCCCAGAGCAGGCTGGCTTCATGGACGGATGTTCAAGGTATGACCCGGTTGTGCGGCAGTGTAGCAAAGGTGAGACGATCATTCAAGCAAGATCCTCTCTCACATGTCAATCGAGCTTGCAGACACTGTTGGTGCTGTACATCATAGTTGACATGGGCCATGATCTGTCTTCTCCAACGTATTTGGAGCGAATAAAAGTGGAGGAAGTAGAAGTGCGTCGATGGCTACCACAGAAACACCGAGAAGACTCACAATAACGTAAAATGGTTTTTGAGGAAGGTTAGTTTACATTCAAAACTTTGCTTAATAATTCATGTTTAGTTATATTTATTAATACAATTGATCAATCAGAAGTTTATAACTATAACTAGTACTTGCCCATCAAAAGTTAGCGAGGGTAAATTTAGTGCTAAAATTAATACAATGCACTATACTAATCATTGTGTTATGTGATGTTTAGTTTGCATTTGTTCTTCTTTTCCCATTGGATAACAAAAGAAAAAGTTTTGGTGAGATTTTTTTTTTTCCACAAAATGGAAGCATGATACCTATTCCTAATTGAAGCGAATTATCTCAACCTAGAAGCTGCCTAAACCTTGGAAAGAAGAGATGAACATCACTTTGACAGAATTTAGATGGTATTTTTCCATATTTTTACATATTGTACAATGTTATGAGCTTGGCAGTGGTGGAAGCCATAGTTATCTCCACTACAATGGCAGCCTTTTCTCGATTGCTTCCTTTTGCAACACTAGTAGCAGAAGTGCTGAGGTGATGGAGCTTGAATCCTTTATGTGGCTCATGAGGTATAGCTCTAGCATGAGCTTGAGCTCTAGCATCCTAGGTGTTGATGGTGAACACTACTAAGTTTTTGGTGTTGTCCTTGTTCTCGTTACCACTGTTGTAGTTTTGGCTGTCCTTGGAGTTTGTGTCCTATGCACTATTCTTGTGGGAGATGGCAGTGTCACTGAGACAAAAGTGTGCTTGTTTCTTGATCACTTCCTTAGACTTGTGTGGGGCAGCATGAACTGCCAACTTCTTCTCTTCATCTTTGATCTCCAAGATGTCTTTGAAGAGGAGGAATACTTCATTTGATCTTTGTAGACTGTGATGGTTGCATGGAACTCTATGCCTTGTAGTTGCAGTGAACCCATCAACCTATGAAGAAAGCAGAGTTCAGAACCAAGTGGTAAAAATAGAGGGCTACTTTGGAAGACTTGGATGGTACTAGGTCATTCAACTTGCAAAGTCCAAGGTTTCTTTGAGTAAGCATTAAGAAAGAACTTTGCATTACCTCAGTATGGAGAATTTCCTTGAGCTCAATTATAGGGCATTTTTCACTCCAATAGCTGGAAACAATGGAAAAAAGTCACCAATGAAAGTTGGCTATCAAGAACGAAGAACATATACTAGACATGGAATAGAGTTTTGCATGAAGTGCCATAGATGTTGTAGAACTTAAAATCTTTTGGAAGTTTTGCAGAGAACCATAGGCGGCAAGACTCATTTGCCCACTCAAGAATGCATCTATTGAAAGGAATGGGTATTGTCTTGTCATCATAGCTCAATTGCATAGAAAATATTTAGTTTATCAGCATAACCAAAGAAAAGAAAAGAGAACTTGATATACCATTAATTATGTTCTCTTTAAGTGCAACTTCCATCTCAAACACTCAAGGGGTCCATATAAGTGTAACTTGATATACTTGGGATTGTTATCATGCTTTCTATGCCGCCTCCAAACTTGCAATTGTGGAGGGGCACTCCCATTCATATGTGAGGGATGCCATCATTGTTTGACAAATGTAATCATGGTCAACACATTGCATGCAATATATGTTTTTCTCTCACCCCATGCAATTGGCCACCTGTAAGCGGTTGAATTTAGACTTCTCGGGAGGTCACCCAACCCAATACTATTCAAACCCAAGGACACTTAACTCCAACTATCCCATGACCTTTGGCCAATTGGAAAAGGGGGGTGCACTCTTATTCATGGGCCCTTTCCCTCTATATTTGAACCCGATGGATTGTTTCTCAAGTCATTCTCTTTAGTTGCTTACAATCCACCATGCTTCCCTGCAAGTTCACGCCCTCATGAACGGAAGCTGAGAGTCATAACTCTCCTGAGAGCCCCGCTCTCTTGACACCCTACCCCTTGAGTCGAGCCCAGCGGGAGCAAACTGGACCAGTCAGATGTCAATCAACATGTGGTGTGATTCCTCTAGCCAACCAACAAAGTCGGACCTGAAACCGCTTTGATACCAAATGTAAGCTCCTGAATTTAGACTTCCCGAGAGGTCACCCAACCCAATATTATTCAAACCCAACGACACTTAACTCCAACTATCCCAAAACCTTTTACCAGTTGAAAAAGGGGGTGCACTTTTATTCATAGGCCCTTTCCCTCTATATTTGAACCCGATGGATCGTTTCTCGAGTCGTTCTCTTTAATTGCTTACACCACCTCCCATTGGCTAAGAGCAAACATTAGTGATTATTTGCTAAAACATGGTTAAAGATATAACCCTTTGATAGTTACCCCCATCGAATGGTTGCCATTGGCTAGATTTGGTGGCTCAGAAACTCCTCCTTATTATTATAGATTATAAACATATTTATAATTTATAAACACAAGATTAATTTTATTGCATATCACCATAGTAACTAAGCAGCCTATAACATTTCGGCTACACACAAGTGAAACTACAAGATCTAGCTCTCAACATCAACACTAACAACATGCTGCATCACTGTCAACACCATAGCCGAGAGCGCCCCAAGCAAAAGCAATGCTATGAGCTCAAGCTTCCACATAGGATCTTGAACTTAACATCTCTCTAGTTTATAGATGAAATGCAATGCCTCCAGCCAACTCCACAAAATGGCAATATTAGCAAATTTTGCAAAGTTTTTCCACGATGAGTGGAGTCCAAGTGATGATCAATGCCATCATCTACCAGCTCATTGATGCAAAGCTCATAAATATCTAAAGTGACATTCTTCAGCTCAAGAGAAGCATTTGAGGTATGGGTTTCTAGAGATTCATTTGCGCAAAGACTAAGTGTATAAATGAAAAACTCTCTAAGGAGAATATCAAACTTTGCAATGAGATCTAATAGTTCAAGGTAAAGTAACCATTAATTATCATAGAAGATACCCATTATGTAAGATTAGATAAAGAAGGCCAAGTTAACACTCAAACTCTATTTTTATCTCTTTTGTATTCTAGCCTTCTATCATCAATGCACATCCACATGCTCAAGATCCAAAGTATTTAAGTGATGCTAAGTTTATCCTTGCTCGTGACCTAGAACTTTTTGGAGATTAAAGGACTTAAGTCACTTTTCTTTCTCATTCTTTGCATATTTATTTCTGTTTATCTAAAGAATTGCTACAATAGAGAGCAAGATTTAGAAAGCAAGCTTAATAGCAAATAATTGCTTTTCTCTCTCTTTTGTTTCTTTTGTATTTCTCCCAATTAGATCACAACATTTTCAATACTCATTAAGACTAATCCTTTGTTATCAAATGTAGTGCATATAGTTTTGACCTTATATCCTATAATGAATTACCATAAACTAACCATAAAGTGAAACCAAATCCTTGGATATGTGTGCCAAGAGCAATGGAGTAGGACTTGAGTTTTAGAACTTTAAACCACCAAATAAAAAGATGGAATTAAAATTTTAAGTATATAGCAATAATAAGTACAAAACAACTCCTAAACATATAATTAGAGAGAAAAGGAAAAAAAGTATGGAGTGACATTAAAATATTCCTTTAGTATTCAACATTCTATGCTAAAACTAGCATGCAAAATGGAGCTAAATAGAATTAATGTTACTTCAATATATTAGTGGTATAATATAACAATATGGGTACTCCACTAGCTAACATAGTATAGAATTTAAGCTTAAACCCAAAATAAACACAAAAGAAGGATAAATATAGCTAAATAATGTTTTAAATTGGTTAGCCATACTTGATCTACAAGTAATGCTATGAAACACCAACCAGCCACTAAAAACCTTTGCTTCCACTTCTAAGTTCATAAAATTATTGCTATAAGTTGGAGATGATTACATCTTTCCTACCAGAACTCTATTAAATGATGGAGGACATGTATATAAACATTTTGTGTCTATAAACCACTAAAGAATGCCAAAGTAAACTATGGTACCAAGGGGAAAGATAAAAGAGGTAATATGGAAAGAATAAGCAATGGTGTAAGGAATGAATGGAATGCAAAAAGTGATTATGAAAAGTGCAAAAGAATGGGAGGGAAAATATAATGAAAGTGATGTAAAGGCCATGTATAATAGTTGTGGCAAAACATAAAAAAATTTGAATGCTATTTGGGGAGTCTTTATCTCTCTAAAAGGCTTTGAGTAATTATAAACTTCCAGTTTAGGCAATTTCTTATTGTAAAGAAGCTCTGGGAAAACCACTGGAAGATTATTATATTTTGATGGCTATGTCTCAAAGGTGTTTATAGCCTTAGATTTCTTAAATTGAAGATGCCAACCATGTTTGTTGAGAAAAGTTGCATAATGCCACAATCAGAAATTATCATAATACCTAAATGCCATTTTGTCTCACAATCCACTACTTAGTGTTAGAAGATATGATTTACAAAGGTCTTTAACATAATTGCTATCATGAAAGAGATCTCCAAGCCAAGCTAATGAAGGGAGATGACGCTGCTCCCAAAGCTAAAGTCAAGTAATGCACCCTCTACCACCTTTCTAGCTATTGTGATCCTTATGCTTGGTATAAGTGAATAGTTTGAAACATGTACTCTAAAGAGCTACTCCTCAGTCACACAACAAGAACCACAGATGCCTAAAAATGGCAAATACCAAATCATGCCACAAACTAAAGAAAATTGTATACCTTTGCCTTAACCAACACATCTAGAACAAGAGTGAGTGTGAAAATTGAAAAACCAGAGCTAAAAACAATGAAAATGGGTGAAATAGAACTTGTTAGAAAGCTCTTGACTTACCCTATCTTTTAGATAAGAAAAATCTCAAAAAACTCTAAGCAGAACAAAGGTGAAAAAGCTCTAAACTCCTCATAGACAACACAAGAAGAGAAATGTTGTTAGATGTCTCGACACACAACATGAAAAATCATGAGATATAACTCTTTGATGAGCTATTTGCTTTAACTCTCAAACAAAATAAATCTTAGAAAATCCAAGCAGGAAAGAGGAGAAAAAGCTCCAAACTCCTCAAGGACAACACAAAAAGAGAAATGATGCTAGATTTTTCTCAACACACCACACCAAAATTCACAAAACAAGACTTAAAAGAAAGCTTTCTTTAGATTATAAAGAAAAAAATCCAAGGAAAACACTCC